AAGGACGATCTACCACTTTCTTTTATAATTAAACTTCTTGTAAGTAGCTACTACATATGTAATTCAAAAATACAAATTAATTTAACGAGTTTTGTAATTCTTTCACAGGCTGCGCGGAGTAACACTAAAGGATTTAAACGTTTAATTCCCCTATCTCGTAAGTTTATAGTTATTTATTTTTTTAATTTGCTAGTTTATTAGGTCTTTGCAGTTATTGAACTTAATGTTTTATTGATAATATGGCTTCTCAATTAACAAGGCGTGCGAAATCCGAAGCCTTATCCATACTAGCGTCAATAAATGATTCATTAAAAAAAAATTATTACAGATGAGGTATCAAAACTTTTCTCGTGGAAGGGAACTGGTACCAAAAGCAGCGCTATTGGTTAGGCAACGACTGCGGCAATAAGAAGTACGGATCATAATATTATTTATTACCACTTTTTACTTAATTAAATTTTCCGGTTTCCAATGGAGTTTTAATCTTTCACTTTATTTTCTTAGGTGCTTTTCGTCAAAAATTTAACTCCCACGAAGAAGTTTTTATTTCCGTTTCAAAGAAGCACTTCCAATATGCACACGACCGGCAAAAAAAATTGGCAGCCTATCGGCAAAAAAGATAAAAAATAAATTCAGCAACTTTATAATATATATTAAACCCCTCTTATTTAATTGTTATTTTGTTAATAGATAGTTTGTTAATATTTATTTATCTGAAAATATCTTTACATATACAGTACCGGGAAAAAATATTGGCACAGAGAATTTTTCGTCATGAATGCAAAGTTTTTTATTCTGATTTCTTCTCTAATTGTTTTTTATAAAAATATAGTTAGTATGAAGTTCTACTTTCAAATCAGATTTTTTAGAAAAATTTTAAGTATGCAGTTTTATAGCCCATTTAATTTTAGTATAATAAAGTGCACGCTTGAATAGCTAGAAAACCTCTTTGTTTTTTGACAATTTCTTATGCGCAGTTTCTTCCATACAAAAAAAAAATGTCGCACATAATTTGCATGGAAGAAACTGCGTGAAAAAATTTCCAAAAATCAACGCGGTTTTCTGGCAACTTCAAGCTTGCACTATGTTATACTAAAATATACTAACTATATTAAAAAAAAATAATGTGCGAAAAGAAATCCAAGTAAAAAACTTTGCATACATTGCGAAAAATTCTCTGTGCCAATA